ACTTTGGGAGGCCGAGACGGGTGGATCACGAGGTCGAGAGATCGAGACCAACCTGGTCAACAAGGTGAAACCCCGTCTCTACTAAAATTAGCTGGGCATGGTGGTGCGTGCCTGTAATCTCAGCTACTCGGGAGGCTGAGGCAGGAGAATTGCCTGAACCCAGGAGGCAGAGATTGCGGTGAGCCGAGATCACGCCATTGCACTCCAGCCTGGGTAACAAGAGCGAAACTCCGTCTCAAAAAAAAGAGAAGAGAATAGTGGTAACTAATGAATGAGATCCATGATATTTTAGAGGTTATTACTCAAGCCAAAGAAAAATTGGACTTTTGATATGAAGCTGATTTTGAGTCTTCATCTGAGCCAAGGATATGTAGAGACAGAATTGGTGATTGTCTGCATGGTAAAAATTGAACGAGCACAGGAAAGATCCTTATTCCAAAGAACTCTTAAACATAGTGACTGACATTTTCACTCCATCTTCACTGAGATGAAGTGAAGATGGAGTCACTCAGTGAAGATGGAGTGAAAATGTCAGTCGAGATTCCTTGAAGTTTCCATGTGTTCTCATAGCAAAGAGTGTACTCATCTTGAGAGCATGGACAACTGTCTACCAGTCTTGCATGCCTTACAGTGAATTAGTTCAGCTATATTTAATAACTTCTAGTGCCTAAAATAAGGTAAGCTGAGGTAGCAGAGGATTTCATGAGGGCTAAATGAGGCACAAGAGATAATTGTCGATCATAAGAAACATTAAAAACGAGCTAGTCTAGGTGGACTTCCATGACAGGAACTTAAGTCCACTAGATCAAAGCGTGCGGTGGGAAGACACACTGTGAAGATACACGGAGAGAGACCTGAGGGAACTGGGAAGAAGAATGTGGCATTGAGATGGATGCATGGGTTTCAAAAATAAATTGCAATGACTTACAACTTGTTCTATGGTTATCTTTACAGATAGAGTATGAGATGTAAAAGCCAGGCAAAGGGGGATGATACCAATCTTTTAGGCAACTCCCTTCCCTGATTTTACCCTTAATATTAGAGTGTAGTGCTAAGTTTACTTAGAAGACACACAAAATGCCACAGCTGACTGGTAGATTCCAAATGAGGTATAAGTCTCTTGATTTCCAGGATTCTTTTCCTAAGACTGTTCATGAAAGTTACCATGGTCCCTCCTCTCATCCCCACCAGCATTTTACATAAGCCATTTCCCTGATGATCATTCTTGGTTATGTGACTCTCTGCCAAGCCACTGTAATCATCTGAGAAAATAACATCAAAATCTAAAAAAACAATATTCATGGAACCTGAAAATTCCCCTGAGTTCTCAAGATTTCTCTTTCACTCACTGGGGACACTTTTAGTTTTCCTTGCTCTGTAGCCCACCAAGTACCCAGGGCACCTAACCACCAATGGGAAAGACAGTCCAGTCTAATCAGACACTCAACCTAATCACATTCCCAGGCAGCCTTGGAGCCATCAACATGCCCTGCAAGGTCAGGGTCATGTCTTTTAAACAACAGCAAGTAAGGCTCAAAGCCCTCATGTACTTGCAGTGTGCATTCTGCTTAAAAGCTTTCAGAAGGAGTGCCTGCAAAGCTAGGCAATACAGGAACTGTTGTTTTAAACAGTCAGATTAGTTCTTCAAAGAGCACCAAACAGTGTTCTTCTAAAGAGCTGCATTCCTATATGAAATTTCTCCATTTAGAAATTCCTTACAGCCTTTACTCCTTCTCTTACTTACTTTTTCACTTCCTACTCTTTCGTATGAATTCCACAAATATTTATGCAGAGTATCCTGTGCTAGGCATTGGAAAAGGAGTGTCATTGTGGAGACAAATAGAGAATAGTTTCTGCTTTGTGGGAGTTTGCCATCTATGCAGAAAATTAAGGCATGTAGAGAGGGAATTACGCTAAAGCAAGAAAGGAATTCGAGGTAGGAACTGGAATTAGCTTCCTACCTCACTTACTTCAGAGAGAGTCAGAGAAGCTGCATTGAAGTGAGGTTCGGTGTAAATCTCAGAGACATCTGGCTAGCTTAGAATTCTTGTTTTATCTGCTCTGTCTATCCTCTTCCCCACACTGTTACTGGACATCTTTTAGGGTGTGTGCATGGCTCATACTTGCTTCTAAGTGTTTAGTAGCATTTATTGTATTCACATTGTTGTGCATCAGATCTCTAAATACAGATATTTAATGACTAATGTGATTTAATGATACATATTACTATGTATTACATATTTTATTATGATGTATGTTATAACATGAGGATATTGAGGCCAAGAGTGGCTGATAAGTGTTAACTGCGATTCAAACTCACAGCACCAGTGTTCTCTCCTTCTGAAGAGATTGGTTATCAACTCTTTCCAGTGGAAAAGTGAAAAAGAAATTGTTGGTAAAATGGAACAGCTTGGGAAATTTAGTATTTCCTACATTCTAATTTGACTCAAACTCCAGGGAAGGACTGGTAGGAAATGTCCCCTCCTGAGGGGACATGAGTTTTGCCAGGACTCATGACTCCACAGGACCAGTCTGCCCTGGTTGGGAGTGCATGCAGGCATGATGGCGGTCTCCGGCGGTCCTCTCCCACTGCTTGCTAGCCCTGCTGCACCCCTTCCAGTTGTCCGCTGTGCTTTCTCTGGATGGGGAAGCTACAGTTCACTGCATTACCAAACTCTTCTGTACAGTTTCATATTTTAGGCCAGCAATATCCGAGTTCTATCTGACTGAGAACCTCACGCTGACCTTGAGACTGCCATGGTTTTGTGGGGCTGCCTACTTCATAGGGGTCCAGTTCCCCTCCAGTTGCTCATCAGCTGAAGCTCTCAGGTTCAGCAGAGCAAATGGAATCCAGCCTCAGATCCCATAACTAAAGAATGACTTCAAATTCGTACTCTTACACATAGGGGGCCAGTATAACTGAGGAAGAAACAACCACTGAAAGATTCTAGTTCACTTACAACCAACCCCAGGAAAGTGCTGAGCTCTCTCGTGGATATCGCTTGCTGTGGCTTTATTTATTCCAGTTGTCAGAGGAGGGCTTTGGTTTGCCTTTTTTCTTTTTCATTTATATTTGAAAGATCTCCCTTTTGTAGAGTGCCAATGATTTGCTAAATACGTTTTTAAAGATAATTTGATTTTGTGATTTTAGAAGACAATACATAGTAATTAATTGGAAAAAAACCTGAAAAATGCCAAAGCAGAACAACAGCAAAGTGGCAACTGTTAAATATCTGTGTTCAAAGATCTATTGCACAACAGTGTGAATACACTTCACGTTACTGAACTGTACACTTAAAAATTAAGATGGTGCATTTTGTTTTTTTTTTAATTTAAAATGTTTAAAAATGCATTCTCCACTACGCTGTTCTTTCAGAAAACAGCTATATTCCATAAGTTTTAAATACCAATTTTGCTCCTAAGGGACAGATTATTCATTTCCTAAAGAAGATCTGCTAGGTAGAAAACAGAAGATCAACACGAGTACTTGAGAAGGGAAAAATGAACGTCTCATTTCTACATGCAATTATGTGGGTACTTTTCCATTAATGATCACCAACTGTGTGACGCCAAAGATTTGCACCATCACAACCCATCTCATTAAAATTATTCAATTTTGAAAATCGTGTTTTTATAAATGTACATGTAAATGAAATGGATTTGAAGAACTGCTACAGCCCTTTACACATGTTCAGCATCTATTTCTCTGCCTCAAGAGCTCGCTTATGAATCACACAGTGAATAAATTTACAGGGAGATGCCAGCCTTGTAAGTTTCCCCCAGAATTATTTCTTTCCCAGCGTCTCAGAAGACATTCCATCAGTGGTAACACTTGCATAATTTCCCCATCCAACATTCATTTATTTTAAAATGTAATCCCAAAAATACATCATCATCAGAATATCCTTCTTCAGTGAAGTACAGCAAGAAATATTTCTTTCTGTATTTCATTATGAAAACAGAACCTATAAGATTCTACAATTTATGACAAAATAGCATAGCAACCTTTCTAATATTTGTACTTAATCCTGATACATTTCTTCAAATACTTGGTAATACTGGTGCAAAGCACCAGTATGTCCTACCCAATAAACACATTTTAGTTTGTCACATATTAGTTTGTACAGCTGTTTTTATTATAGTATGAAAAACAATGGCATATTGTTTCCTGAATGGCATGTGACTTAAAAAAAAAAAGTATTGTATTAGTCCGTTATCATGCTGCTGATAAAGACATACCCAAGATTGGGTAATTTATAAAGGAAAGAGATTTAATTGACTCACAGTTCAGCATGGCTTGGAAAGCCTCAGGAAACTTACAATCAGTGCGGAAGGGGAAGCAAACACGTCCTTCTTCACATGGCAGCAGTAAGGAGAAATGCTGAGCTAAAGAGGGAAATGCCCCTTACAAACCTGTCAGATCTCGTGAGATCTCACTCATTATCATGAGAACAGCATGAAGGCAACCTCCTCCTTGATTACCAAGTCCCTCCCATAACACATAGGGATTATGGGAACTACAATTCAAGATGAGATTTGGGTGGGGACACAGCAAAATCATATCAAACACAAGGTAAGTTGTATTAGCTCACTCATTTGATTGAGAACATATGCTATTTGTCTTTCTGTGCACAGCTTATTTCGCTTAACATAAAAACTAAAAATAGAACTAAAAATATACTTAGATTTAGGTTTTGATTATTTCTTTTTCTATTTTATTAATATGTACATATTTATGGGGTATAGGTGATGTTTTGATACATGTATATGCAATGTGTAATGAATAACAGTCAAATCAGGATAATTAGAAAAGCCATCACTTCAAACATTTATCATTACTTTTATGAACATTTCATATCTTTTCTTCTAGCTGTTTTGAAATAAATTATTGTTAGCTATAGTTACCCTACTGTACTATTGAACATTAGAACTTATTCCTCCTATCTAACTGTATATTTAATTTCTATTAATCTTTATTCCCTCTCCTTCACCCTTCACAGGCGCTGGTAACCACCACTCTACTCTCTACCTCCATAAGGTAAGTTGTATTAGCTCACTCATTTGATTGAGAACATATGTTATTTGTCTTTCTGTGCACAGCTTATTTCACTTAACATAATGACTTCCCGTTCCATCCATGTTACCACAAACGATGGGATTTCATTCTTTTTTAAGGCTGAATATATTCTATTATGTATATGTTCCACATTTTCCTTATCCATTCATCCACTGGTGGACACTTAGGTTAATTCCATATCTTGGCTGTTTTGAATAGCACTGCAGTAAACAAGGTGGTATGTGGGCAGGGGGTGTACAGGTATCCCTTTGTTATACTTTTTTTGGGAAAAATATCCAGCATTGGAATTGCCGGATCATATGGTAGTTCTATTTTTAGTTTTTTGAGAAAACTCCATACTGTTTTTAATAATGACTGTACTGTCTACATTCCCACCAACAGTGGATAAGAGTTTGTCTTCTCTGTGTATCCTTGCCAGCATTTGTTACTTTTTGTCTTTTTGGTAATAGCCATTTTTACTGGGGTAAAGTGTCTCATTGTGATTTTGATTTGCACTTTTCTGATGACTAGTGATGTTGAGCTTTTTAAAATACTTCTGTTGGCCATTTGTACGACATAAGGCTGGGTTTATTAAGTCAGAAACTTCAAAAACAGATGCTAAGTATGTACAAACATGCTTAGTATACTTTAATGATGTTCTGCATTGCATAAGGCAGGACTTTAACCATCATCGAGAAAGATGTAAAAGTTTGTCATCATGTCTTGGTTTAGACAAAGTTTTTAAATGTCTTGCTAATGATGGTAGTTTTATATTTAATTGGCTAATATGAAAGCTATAATAAACACCTGGAAAAAGTTTCATGGTTCGTGTTTTAGGTAATAATGAGCAAAATTTGTCATTAATAATATTTTGAATGGTTTTCTTGAATCACTGTTTTTACTTATGTGACTAAAAGAAAGAGCCAAACCAGGAGTCCTGTTTGCCATTTGCTTGCTATTTGTTTATACTAACATTACCAGTCTTACATGTAACCCATGTTTTCTTTGTAGGCGTCTTTTCAATTCATTTATCATTTTGGGAATATTAGCTTACATAAAACCAGATGTTGCAATCCACATATTTAATTAAGCATGCATAAGTCACAAAATATTGCCAAACGCTGGAAATAAGTAACGTAGTGAAGGTGTCTCTGTCAATTTTCCATGGTGCTGAATTTCTACTTTTCCCTCATTTATGAGAAGAGACAATGATCATCTGATATATAGCACAAATTAGGGTGCAAGTATTATTGCACATTAAATATTAATAAACCTTAGTTTATTTTCACGTATTTTGACAGATTTTTATCTTCAGAACAGTTTTAGATTTACTGAAAAATTGAGAAAACACAAGAGAGTTCTCAGACGTCCCTTATCTAGTTTCCCCATTATTAATCTTGTTCATTACATGTGGTATATCGGTTAATGAAAACAATATGGGTTTATTGTTATGAATGAACTTAATTTATTTAAAAATTTTTAAACCATAACTAAATAGAAATATAAGTTCTAATATTCTCTGCCTGTGCCCTCATGATGTTCTTGTATATAGCAAATGTAATGCATGAAAATTACAACCCCAGAATGCACTGTTGCTAGGACCCTTTCTGATTCCTCAATTATTCCCTTGGCACAACATTCTCAGCCTCTCACCTCCTTTACCATCTCCTCGCCTCCTCCCTTGTCTTCTCCAGTGTTTTTTGAAATTTTCCATCTCTGCTTGAATTCAGAAAGGTGTTGGGTTGCAGACAGGTGGAGATGAGAACAGGACCATGAAACTCAGGTAATTTCCAAAGAAACCTACATGGGATAGAGAACACCTGTCTGCATATTTTATGGTTCCTCTGAGCCTGGTTCATGAGTCAGAGAACATTTGTTAGGGAGGTGCAGATGGTATCTAATTCGTGAGCCAATCCTGGGTAGTGTGCCGTAAGTAAAAGCATGGTGGGTTATTCTCAGCCTGGCTCCATCTGTTTTATAATTATTGTCACTTCTTCCAAGATTCTGGCATTGAGTTGTCAGTCTTCGTTTGTAACTAGCTTTGCTTTGGCTTTGTGGACATCTCAGCAAGGGGTTTGGAAAGGCTGCTTTAAGGCTGTTAGCCAGGCGCCATTTAGAACCAGAAGTCTCTTTAGCTTCCTATGGAAATTCCCCAAATAGCTCTAGTTGGGCATTGAGAAAGCCTAATGAGATAGAGGGGCTGGCTAGCTGACAATAACAGTCTGCCAAATTAAACGTGTTATTAGAAATAAAACAGATTCTGAGAAGCCAGAAAGGTACTGCACAAATAACATGCTTTGCTCACTATGGAAAAGGTAAGTTTGTTTAGCTTTCTTCCACAAGGGGAAGTGCACCTCATAGTAAACGTTGAGAATCTCAGTAAGAAGGAGTGGGTGGGGCTTCTTGTAGATTTCGGTGCATTCTGGGTGAATCCAATGAGAGTTTAAGGCAGTGGGGGCCGGTTCTGGATTGGATTTGGTCTAGAAGTAAAAACAACTTGTTGATGGGTCATCTTCATATTTACCTGGAGGCAAGAGGTTGAGAACAAGTTGGCATTGATAAAGAAATAGCAGGAACATACATTGCATGGTGCATTATGAAGCTATGATTCAAGGCAAGAATATATACATTCCATGACGTTTTCAGCTCAAATAGCAATGAAGATTTTTACTTTAAGAAACAAACAAGTAAACAAGCAGTAACCAATACATAAGTTGGAAGAGGGGGCTGTTTAGTCATTTGTGGTTGTAGAGTGGACTTAGCTCTGGCTCATTTACTCATGATCCTGGAATGGCATCTTCTGAGCGTGGTTTGTCTTTTGGGAGTATTTTTACATTCTGTTGGGACCATCGCAGCTTGACTGCCAGCACCATTTTTTACTTTCTCACATATTATCTTTTTATTCTATGCAACATGTCTATGGCTGTAGGTATTTTATCATTGCATATTCCAGATATGGAAATGAATCAAAGGAGAGGCTCAACAACCTGTTGTCATGTTGTTAACCCCTGAACTACTAGAGCCTGGAGAAGGGGAAGGAGAGAGCTTTTCTGTTGTTCTCCCAGGTATGCCAGATGTCTGGGATTTTGGCCCAATGCAGTTTGTGATAAATTCTAAACTGATCATGGGTTACTATTTGAGTCATCATAGAATTGTCTGAAGTGGCAAGTGCTAAAAAGCTAGGCCAGAAAAGGAAGACGATATGTTAGACTCCAGTGACTATTTATCATCATGTTGTTGCCTGATGGCCTTGGATAAGCTACACCTTAGATTCAAACTGGAACTTGGAGAGCAAGCTTCAAGAGATCTAGACACAGTGGCTAAGCAAATGGGGTTGTATTTTAATAGCAAAAGTCCTTCTGCCTGAGAGCATAGGTAAGATGCTCTCCCTACTACGTCATATTCTGGGCTATAAGACAATCACCTGGTGATCTGAGACACAGGTAGGAAGCTGTAAGGAAGAAAGCTAGACTTGCTCCTTTGTGACTGAAGGCAGTTATCTTGAGGTTGGAAACACGTATGTGGGCAGTGTAACACCATGCCTGATGTGGATGCATATGCTTCTACTCTGCTTCTATTTCCAAATCCAAAACTCATTCTGTTGAATTTTCAAGTAGCTGCTGGCTCATTTCTGTTATAAACTTGGCCATGCGTCTCTCAGTGGAAAGGCAGATAACTACATCTTTGTTCTTTCACAGTCTTATTAATAGATCCTATATATATGTGAATTTGGATAGGAGGAAAATATATTTGTTCAAATTTTGCAACCTAATGTTTTCTTTTTTTAGATAGAGTTTTGCTCTTGGCGTCCAGGCTGGAGTGCAATGGCGCCATCTCGGCTCACTGTTAGCTCCTCCTGCTGGGTTCAAGTGATTCTCCTGCCTGAGCCTCCTGAGTAGCTGGGATTACAGACACCCGCCACCATACCCAGCTAATTTTTGTATTTTCAGTAAAGATGAGGTTTCACCACATTGGCCAGGCTGGCCTCAAACTCCTGACCTCAGGTGATCCACCCACCTCGGCCTCCCGAAATGTTGGGATTACAGGCGTAAGTCACTGGGCCCAGCCACAACTTGACATTTTCTTGGTGAAGACAAAGTAAAGCACGGGGACAGCTGCTATGTAAATTTTAAAAAACCATCAAAATGCTTGTTTCAGTTATGGTAGTGGTTTCATAACTATATGTGTTTGCCAAAATTCATAGAACTACATGCCGAAATGAGTGAATTTATGATAGGTAAATTAGACCTCAAAAAACCTAGCTTTGGAAAGCTGCATGTTAGAGGGCAAAATTGAGTGATAATTCTGATGGCCACTGGAGATCTGACAGCTTTGCCCTTCATGTCGTCTCACTCCCTAGGCTGAGATGGGTGCCACAGAGCAGGAGTGCCTGGGGGGCAGGATTCTTTCTGCAAGCCCAGGGTGGAGTTGCTGGTGATGCTGCAACCTAAAAATGAACTTGCACTGTGGTTGAGCATTCCTGAAGTCACTTTAATAAGACAGGCCCTTTCCATAAAGGAAGATGAGGGCCCCGCAATGCATAGAGAGAGGAACAAGGAATAGAAATGTAAAAGAACTGGAGGCTGGGCACGGAGGCTCACACCTACAATCCCAGCACTTTGGGAGGCCAAAGCAGGAGGAGCCCTTGAGCCCAGAAGTTTGAGACCAGCCTGGGCAGCATAGTGAGACCTGTCTCTACAAAAATTAGCCAGGCGTGGTGGTGCATGCCTATAGTCCCAGCTACTCAGGGAACTGAGGCAGGAAAATCAACTAAGCCTGGGAAATCAATGATTACCACTGCACTACAGCCTGTGTGTCAGAGTGAGGCTTTGTCTCAAAAACAACAACAAGATTAAAGAAAAAGAAAGCACTAGAGCCTGGAACAGTCATTTCAGCTGCAGGACACATGGAGGGGCAGGAGATGATGGTGCGAGGGTGATGATGGAGGAGTGGGAGGCAATGGTGGGGACAGGAGGAGACACCTCAAGGGAGGCTAACATATGTCCCTAGAAACACCCCCAGCTAAACAAACCATTAAGCAACAAGAGCATCACAACTTCATTATTTATCATTGTTCTGGAAATTCTCCTCATTGCAATGAGAAGACAAACATATAAAAGAATAAACTTGGCCAGGCACGGTGGCTCACACCTGTAATCCCAGCACTTTGGGAGGCCAATGCAGGCGGATCACCTGAGGCTGGGAGTTCGAGACTAACCTGACCAGCATGGAAGAAACCCTGTCTCTACTAGAAATACAAAATTAGTCGGGCATGATGATGCATGCCTGTAATCCCAGCTATTCAGCAGGCTGAGGCAGGAGAATCACTTGAACCCAGGAGGTGGAGGTTGCGGTGAGCCGAGATTGTACCATTGCACTCTAACCTGGGCAACAAGAGCAAAACTCTGTCTCAAAAGAAAAAAGAAAAAGCTCTTTGGAGAAGGCAATTATTATGAACCACAAATAACAATATTGTTAACGCAGAACTTCCAAAGGAATCCACTAAAAAGGTATAAAAACTTAAACCAAAATTTAATAGTTGGCAATTACAAATAAATGTACAAAATATTTTCCTAGTAT